GTGAGCCAGGGTAATGCGCATGCGCGGGGCAAGAGGCGCGCGTTGTTTTGACTCGCGGTGACAGAGCCAATCCCTGCGCGGAGGGGGCGGGGCGTAGCCTTACTGCCCGGGTGCCGCAGCCCACGCGCTGGAAGGCGTCACGTGACCGGGCGGAAGCGGGTGGGGCCACGAGGCCTGAGCTCTGCTGCTGGCGGGAGTAGGACACGCTGAGTCCTTGCGCTTGGGGAGGGGGCATCCAGGCCTGGCCCCTCTCAGCCCCCAGCCTGACCCCGGCGGGGCACCAAGCCCTGCCCCAGCCCACGTGCCCTCGAGTCTTTTCCACCCCTGTGCGAAATACATTTTGTTATGTACCCGGGTGCGGCTGTGCACCACCAATAGAAACCCAAACCTAGCGCTGGGCGCTCTGCTCATCAGCGGGGCACAGTAGAATCTCTGCTCAGCGGCTGCCCCCACCCCATGCCCTGACTAGAGGTGTCAGTTTTGGTTGGGTGTATTTCTGGAGACTTCATCACATGACGTGCTTTTTAATTTAAAAAGAATCTCTGCTTCCCGGAGATTCACTGGGAACTCTCGTCCTTACCGCCCCCTCCCCCAAACTCTGGCAGGCAGTGTCAAGCCCCCACCTGGGCAGGGAGTACTATGTCTGGAATCCTGGATTGCAGTGGGGGAGCCAGCCCTAGTCCTACTGTTGGGGGCTTCCAGGACCTTCTGGGAAACAGAATAATAGAATATTAGAACTGGAAGGGACCTAGATAGGTCATCGAGTCCAATCCCCAGCATTCACGGCAGGGCCAAGTACCATCTAAGTCTTTCAGTGCCTGACCCCCTTCTAGCCATAAAGAAAGTCCCCTGAATTTGTCCATGACCTTGGGGTAGGGTTAATCACAAACACCAGGCTGGGAACCCCTGCCCCAGAGTCATTGGGTGCATCTAGACTGGCAAGATTTTGCGCAAAAGCAGCTGCTTTTGCGCAAAAGCAGCTGCTTTTGCGCAAAAGCAGCTGCTTTTGCGCAAAAGCAGCTGCTTTTGCGCAAAAGCAGCTGCTTTTGCGCAAAAGCAGCTGCTTTTGCGCAAAAACTTGCCAGCTGTCTACACTGGCCCTTTGAATTTGCGCAAGAGCACTGACGTTCTAATGTAAGAATTCAGTGCTTCTTGCGCAAATACTTTGATGCTCCCGCTCAGGGATAAGCCCTCTTGCGCAAGAATACTTGAGCAAGAGGGCCAGTGTAGACAGCTGGCAAGTTTTTGCGCAAAAGCACTTTTTGTGCAAAAGCATCCGTGCCAATCTAGACGCTCTTTTGCAGAAATTCTTTTAACGGAAAACCTTTTCCGTTAAAAGTATTTCCGCAAAATCATGCCAATCTAGACGCAGCCATCCTGTATTACCCCCTAACAGATAGGTCTGTATAAGCAAGTAAATCTAGCATCAGTCAAGCATCAGGATAGGACAAGACCTTCACTGCCAGTGGCCACTTGTTACTGATTTATACCCAGGGGACACTAATACAACATTCTCACCTGGGGCACCTCAGCTGTAACCCCAAGGAATGGGCTGCCTTGAGCCAGTGGCGACAGCAATGCTTTGCAGTGCTGAGCTCAAGCCCCTGAAAGCTTTTTGGTGCATAACCACAGGGCTATGGACTCTCCATAAGCTGGATGATGCAGGTTCTTGCACCTGTCTGCAGTGTCTGCTCTGGACTCTCCCCAGGAATCGCTCCAGGCTGGGTTGTGAAGAATGGAACCCATGGAGGCAGCCCAGACCCCGGAGAAGAGGAGGAGGTTCACCGTGCAGTTGCAGGACCCTGAACACAGCACGGTAGCAAAAGGATCATGGGTGGCTCTTGGAGGGGACCTGATAGGTAGCTGAGTGTGTTCAGGGCCCTTGAGATTCGCACACAGAGCAAGAGGCAGGAGGCCCCCAGCACCCTGCTGGCTCTGTCCCCCCTTCTCACCAGATGTTCAATTGCATGCGTGTGTTTTTTCCGCATGCTGCACTGGCTCTGGCCAGATAGCCCATACAGCAGGCTCCGATCAAACTGCCCAAAGAAAATGTTATTGCTAACAAACCACAGTGGTAACGCCCCAGCTCAGTGGTTACAGGTACACTAACTCATGCATGCCCTTGCCAATGGACCAGCCCAATTAGCGATGGGACTTTCCACTGCCTCCTAGACCAGACAAAGAGTTTAAAGCAAGGTATGAAAACAAACAATCCAGGATACACAACTTACATATCACCTTCCACTTTTCATGACGTTTGTTACCTCTCTTTGTACTTTCCTCCCGATGTTACAAACAAAATATTTCCATTTATTACCTTTGTCAAACCTTTTCATCGCGTGCTAGGTTGAGGCGTTCTTGTGCTGGCCAGCTGGAATGTGTTTACACTCAGGGTGCGTCTAGACTGGCAAGGACCAGTGTACTGGCTGCTTGAATTTGTGCAAGAGCACTGACTTTGTAATGTACAAAATCAGTGCTTCTTGCGCAAATACTTTCACGCTCCCGCTCAGGAAAAAGCCCTCTTGTGCAAGAATACTTGCGCAAGAGGGCCAGTGTAGACAGGGAAGAACTGTTTTGTGCAAAAAAGCTCCGATGGCTAAAATGGCGATCGGGGCTTTCTTGCGCAAAATCGCGTCTAGACTGGCCACAGACACTTTTGCGCAAAAGCATCCGTGCCAATCTAGATGCTCTTTTGCGGAAATACTTTTAACGGAAAAACTTTTCAGTTAAAAGTATTTCCACAAAATCATGCCAGTCTAGATGCAGCCTTAGTGTGCTTTAGCCATGTTGGTGACAAGTTTGTGTACTGGACTCGCAGGCAAGCATCTGCTTTTGGCAGGGCCTGGCAGTAGTTCATAGCATAACTTTTGCTAACTTTCGTTCAGGCCTCAGGCCTCACACCAGGCTCATGCTTCAGCCTTTCTCTTTCTACTGCTCTGCTCAGTTGGAGGCCCTAGCACAGAACTGGCTCTGCACTAGCCTCAGGGCTCCCAAGAAACACCCTGCTGGCACACTTGGGGTCACTCCAACTCCTACCTAGTGCCTCCTGAGAGGTCCTTGCCCCCACACAGCTGATTCTGCTTTTTCTCACCCAGGATTTGTTGCTTTCCACTAGGTGAGGCCTCTCTTCAAATCATCTTGCTCTTCAGCAGAGCCCAGGGCCCCTGCCCTGCCTGGGGCCACTTCCTATGCTGAATATGTTGTCACCGAGGCCTCCGTGCCAGTCCCCCGGCCTGTCAGGGTAACAGCTGCACCCTCGGGGTCTGGAGAGCAGGCTGCCTTGGGAGCACTCCCTTCAGGAAGCGAGGCCAGCGTCATACTCTCTGCTGCCCATGGGGACTCAGATCCCAGTCCCGTGCTGAAACCAGGGACCAAGAGCAACTGCATCATTGTCAGCCCTCGTCAGGTGAGGGGCTGCCTGACAGGCTCTTCTCCTTGCTGTTGCTTGGTATTGGAGGGGGTGCTCTCTCTGCAGGAGAGGTCTGTAGAGCAAGGGTATCCCCAGGCCCTGGCTCTCATTGCGCTTGGCTCTTGTGCTGTATGGCTCAGTGCCCCCATCCCCATCCAGGGCTTATCCATCTGGGCCTCTCTCTGGTGCCCCCCATCAAGGGCTCATCTGCCTACCCTACCCTCCCCTGGATGCCCCTGGCAAGGGTTTGCCCAACCCCACTTTCCTTGGCCTCTCCCCAGCTGCTCCATTAAGGGCTTGCCCATCCTGCCTCTTGCAGCCTCTCCTGCAGCCCAGCCTGTCCCCGGGCCTTACGTCAGGGACTCACTCAACCCCTCTCTCCCAGCCTCTCCCTGGTGCCCACATTGAGGGTTCACCCTTGCCCCATCCCTTGGCCTCTCTATGGGGACCCCCATCAGGGGCGCCTCAGCCTCTCTTCCCAGTCTCTTGCTAACGCCCCACCCAGGCTGCCACCCCATTTCTGATGCTGGGGGGATTCCCCCTCTCTTCCCAGCGGGGGAACCCCATCCTGAAGTTTGTGCGCAACATCCCCTGGGAGTTTGGTGAGATCGTCCCTGACTACGTGCTGGGCCAGACAACATGTGCCCTCTTCCTGAGGTGGGTGAGCTGACAGCTGGGAGAGCTGAGCATTTAGGGCAGGTGTTTGGGATCAGGCCAGTGGCTGGGAAACCTGGACTTTTGGGGGTAGCTGGGGGGCAGGCAGATGGCTGGGAGAGCTCTGGGAGAGCCGGGTTCTCAGGGGATATCTGGGGGGCAGGCTGATGGCTGGGAGAGCCGGGTTCTCAGGGGATATCTGGGGGGCAGGCTGATGGCTGGGAGAGCCGGGTTCTCAGGGGATATCTGGGGGGCAGGCTGATGGCTGGGAGAGCCGGGTTCTCAGGGGATATCTGGGGGGCAGGCTGATGGCTGGGAGAGCCAGGCTCTCAGAGGGTAGTTAGGGGGCAGGCCGATGGCCAGGGGAGTGGGGCTCTCAGAGGGTACCTGGGAGATCCAAGGCTGGGGACAGGCAAGGAGAGTGAAGTGAACAGAAGAGAGGTTGCTCCAGTGCTCTGCTCGCTTCACAGCCTGCGGTACCACAACCTGAATCCCAAATACATCCATGAGCGGCTGCAGCGCCTGGGGAAGACGTACGCTCTGCAGGTGCTGCTGGTGCAGGTCGACGTGGTGAGGAGCCCCGGCACCTTGGCTCCCTCCTGGCCCTCAACCAGACCCTCTCCTGCCATGGTGCCTTGCGCACTCCCTACTGCAGGGCTGGAACCAGCTCCCACCCAGCCCCCTCCCCGTAGTGATGCTCCTGCTTCTCCAGCCTCCATGGCCTTGCTCAGCCATTCCTGTCATCCCTCCCCCTTCATCCCCCTCAAAGACTCCCTGCCTCCCGTCTCCTCTCCCATCTCGGTGAGGAATTGCCCCGATGCGGTGGGGAAATTGCCCCCGTATAAGCAGGGAATCGCTCTTCTTTGCTGTAGAAGGACCCGCACCAAGCACTGAAGGAACTGGCCAAGATATGCATCCTGGCCGACTGCACTCTCATCCTGGCCTGGAGGTGAGAGCCCCCGGCACGGAAAGTCAGCTCCATGCCAACAGGGCTGGGAGTGTCCTGCCAAGGGACAAGACCTATGGAGGACCTGGGGACTGGGTCAAGCCATCTAGGGCGTGTCCTGCTAAGGGGCATGGGACCCAGGGCCGCACTCCCATCTCTGCGGAAATGAATTTGAGCTGGTGGGGACCCATGGGATGTGGCTGCCAGTGAGACCTGACTCCTGGGCAGGCAGGTCCCTTCTCCTGGGAAGCCCAGATCATGCTCAGCTGGCCGGGGGTGGCATGTCTCCCTGTCTGCCTCCGTGCATGCCTAGGCCTGCAAGCTGGAAGCTCCATGATGTGGGGCACCTTCTCTTGGGAGCATGCTGGCCCTGCGAAGCTCAGGGCAGGACCAGGCCTAAGCATGGAACTGAACACCAGCCATAGCAGTGCTTGGCTTTGAATATCACTCCCTGCAGGCTGGCGGGTCCAGCAGGCCTCAGCTTTGTGGCTTCAACCCTTTGTGCTGTGCACCAGGCCTCTCCCATCGTCTCCTGATTCCCGTATCTCTGGTTCCCCTCAGCCCTGAAGAGGCCGGACGCTACCTGGAAACATACAAAGCCTACGAGCAGAAACCAGCAGACCTGCTCAAGGAGAAGGTGGATCAGGACTTCCTGTCCAAAGTAAGGCTACCCTGCTGTGTGCTTCACTGCAGCAGTGCCATGGCAGCACCCCAGCTGGGGACCCCTGTGCCGTGAGCTTCCACACAGCAGTGCCCTGCCAGGGTTCCCTGTGCCATGAGCTTCCCCACAGCAGTGCCCTGCCAGGGTTCCCTGTGCCATGAGCTTCCCCACAGCAGTGCCCTGCCAGGGTTCCCTGTGCCATGAGCTTCCCCACAGCAGTGCCCTGCCAGGGTTCCCTGTGCCATGAGCTTCCCCACAGCAGTGCCCTGCCAGGGTTCCCTGTGCCATGAGCTCCAGGGTTCCCTGTGCCAGCCAGGGTTCCCTGTGCCATGAGCTTCCACACAGCAGTGCCCTGCCAGGGTTCCCTGTGCCATGAGCTTCCCCACAGCAGTGCCCTGCCAGGGTTCCCTGTGCCATGAGCTTCCCCACAGCAGTGCCCTGCCAGGGTTCCCTGTGCCATGAGCTTCCCCACAGCAGTGCCCTGCCAGGGTTCCCTGTGCCTTGACCTTCCCCACAGCAATGCTGTGGCAGTACCCAGCCAATGTGGTGAACTTCCTCAAAAGTGTCCTCATCAGGTGTCCTAGAGCAGACGTGTCTCTCAGCAGTGTGCCGTGGGCAGGGAGAGAGGAGTTCAGCCCATGCCTGGTGTGCGTGTACTTGCCCAGCCAGGGAGGGGCGCTCCCACTCACAACCTGTGTCTCTTCCCAGGTGACCGATTGTCTGACCAGCGTGAAGTCAGTTAACAAGACGGACACACTGAGCCTTTTCTCAACATTCGGGGTGAGCCACCTGCTGCACATTGGGGGCAGACTGGGCCTTGCAACAGCTAGCTCCGAGCTCTGCCTTTTGGGACTAGGTAGCTCCATTGCTCCCTTCCCATCAGTTCACCCAAGACAGGTGCCCAGCTGAGTCTTTCCTTGCAGTGCAGGAGTTTGTCGGAGCAGGATGCTACTGTTGGGGAGGCATATGACAAGATGGCAAACTGGACTGGTCCCTCCTGCTGGGCCCCCCATTGATTTTAGCTCCCAGCCTACTGGAGCCCATGGGAGGACACATAAAGGGCTGCCCTTACCCCTACGCAGAATACACAGCTACCACGCATTTGGGGCATTCATCCACCCACCCGCCTCTTCCTGTCCCTGCCCTGTGGCTCTGCTTCCTCCAGAGGGTCTAGTTCACTTACAGTGACACAGCCTGGCAGAGCCAGTAGCAGGACATGGAAAGAGCCAGCCAAAGGGTAATGAGCCATTTCACAGGCAACTGCCAACCCCAGGTCTGTTTCTGAATTTCCCGCTAGTCAACGGGGGCCTTCGTTTAAAATCGGCTTTTAAAATATTTCAGTAGCGTGTTGCTTAAGATTGTATAAAATCACAGCTCTAAAAAATCATCATCTGCCCCCTAGAGGGCCCCATAAACCCTAAGTATGGCCCTGGACACACACGGGCTGCCTGCGAACCATGTCGCAGTGCAGCAGCAGCATCGGGTCTCTCCTTCCCCATGAGCGTGAGGGGCAGAGTGCAGGGAAGGACCTGGCAGGGGGCTCCTTGTGCTCCAGGGGTAATCTGACTCTGAACATTGTCGTTTCAGTCTCTGGCGAATATTGCACAAGCATCCAAGGAGGATCTCTCCCTCTGCCCAGGCGTCGGGCCCCAGAAGGTGAGCGGGAGCAAGAGGGAGAACTCATCTTCCCCCAGTGCCTTATCTGTGTGGCAAAGGGGCTGCAGGGAATCAGGTGGGAGTGTGCGGAAGGGGCACAGCAGAGGAAACTGCTCCAGGCCCTACTCACTCAGGTCTCTGCTCCAATTTTTTTCCAGGCCAAGAGGATCTTTGACACCCTCCACCAGCCCTTTCTGAAGATCCCCAAGTGAGCAGAGCCCTCCCCTGCGGCACTGCCAGCAGCAGACAAGCAGGAATACATAGCCCCCTTGCCTGCCCAGCCTGGGTCCTGCCGGCATGCTGTTTGCCAGGGCTTTGGGGGACACTGTGCAGAACCAGGTGTTTGTGAGTCTGGACTTTTGACAATAAACCACACTGTGCAGCATTGCAGCTTGGCTGGACAGTGTCGGTTTGGTTCGTGGCACCCTCCTGCCCAAGCTGTGGGCAGGCTCACAAGAAGTGTGTGGGGGGGAAGGGGGCTCATCACATCTCACTGCCGGGGCCAGATAATGGGGGAAGCAGAAACGTGAGCTGGTAGCTGGGGAGGAGCATTTGGCATCAAGGCTCCCAATGTTCTGGGGAAAGGAGCTGGCTGGCTCAAGAACCTCAGCCCAGGAAGCATGAGGGGTCGGGGAGCCCCACCCGGTAGCCTCACAGCCTGTGTAGTAGTGTGCAGCTTCAGGGACATGCATTGCAGGAGTCTGCACCACCCTGGCACTCCATGTACAGACACAGTGACCCTGCCAGCCCCTTCCCTTCCTGCAAGCCACTGGGAAGCAGCAGCCAATAGCTGCTAGTGCAGCCAGGGGGAGATTTCCTAGAGCAAGGACTCCAGAGATACAACACTGTCTTGATTCACTCCCCACCCTTGTGTGTGCTTGGGCCCCGGCAGGGAGTGGTCACAGACCTGCAAGAGAGGCGCTATCATCCCAGCTTTGGAACAGTCTGTACGAGTCCTTAGAGGGGTCTGACTTTTCCTCAAGGGCTCGCCTTGGAGCTTCACCATCATCTTAAACTGGGCCTCTAGCAGCACCCCAGAACCTTTCAGCACCTCCCACTGAGACGGACCCCTGGGGGAGACATACATATCCAGGGATCAGTGCCTCCTGCAGGTCCCACGTGGTGCCGGCAGAGGTGGAACACAGCATAGGAGTCCTCAGGTTAGCAGAGCAGAGCAAAAGCTAAAGCACAGGCCATAGGGGGCATGCAGAGCCCCAAGCTGGAGTGAACGAACCCCTGTCATCCAACCCCCCCCCCCCCCCCCCCCACCCCTCCCCCCCACACACACCCAAC